CGGTAAATAAGTCCATAATCAATAGAAGCCAACTAAGCCAACCAATTATACTTAAATGTATATTGGGTATTTTAAAGTATCTTTTAGTATCTAACTAGGTACTTTTAGTGTGTTTTATGACGGTATAAGTATTATACACAATAGGTACTCACTACTTATATCGTCCAACTAATTCAGTATAGTCACTGCAACCATGTTTTCTATTATTTTTACATTTCAAAACAAATCAAACGACAAAATATTTGATTACACATACTGGTTTTTTTGAATCATTTCCGTCTTCTTCGTCGTTTTGAGATAATGATAATGTGTATACATTATTGAAATCGTTGACACTCCATTACATTCGAAAAACGATTTTACTGACTTCCGAGCAACATTTATAGCGTGTACACTGACTCAAAAATCGTAAAATAAAAAATTAATAAACAATACATTTCACCTCTCCCCCTCTGAATATTGCCACCTCCATTGTTTACGCTAATAAAATAGCAACTATAATAAAATAATTATGTTTCATTCAAAAAAATTTTCAATAAGTACAATAAGATTGACGGTTTGCTACATGAAGTTGATAACGTTCAAATGTTTTTTTAAAAAAAACATTAGTATACAAACTTCATACTTACTAAATTGATTAGATCAGCGTTTTTTAAACTTTAATATCCGCGGAACCCTTTTTAATGTCCACATTTATTGTGAAACACCTTACTTTTTTTTTTTAGCTTTTTAGCTCTTTTTAGGATTATTTGTAAATAAATTATAATCATATAATAATATTGTGTTAAAGGTGTTTAATTTAAAAGATATGTTAAAATAAACGTATACGTATAATATTTCTTTAATAAAAATTACTTTAATTAGACTATTCCATATGGCTTATACATTGTTATTTAATTTTAAAAAGAGTTTTTTTTTCTATAATGCGAACATCTTTTCACCATTGCTAATCTTTAGTTAGAAATGTTAAATTAATTTTCTTAAAAAATTTTAAAAAATTACGTAAGCTTCGTGAAACCCCGGGGTTCCGCGGAACACAGTTTAAGAAACGCTGGATTAGATTAACATGAAATTTATTTTAGGTCATACATACATAAAAATGTATTATAAACTATGATAAAAAAATTGTTATTCAACATTGCTGGGATATTTTATTATTAGTGAATCGTAATTTTTATTTTCCGAAACACAAAATAACTTATTTCATTGAGAGAAATGTCTAAAATGATAGACATGAATTATTTTAATAGTATTACCGTTGTAATTGACATGTCTTTCCGTGGTTTTAATAAAGATTTAAACGGCTACCGAGGTAAATACGTCTGCTTTATCATTATCTGCCACATCTATAAAGTGGAAGACCATTAAATATCACGGTAGGCAATTCATTTAACAATGAAATGCGTCGTTTACGACACACGAAATTACATAGGCACAAACTATTAAATGTAGGGCATGAAAATAACCGCCATACATATATATATAAATATAGGTATTTAAAATTATTTCATAGGTCGCGGACTAATGAAGCCCACATTCGAGTATACAGCAATTGTAGCCCTTGTAACTCTAAAAGTAATAACAATAATAATTAAAAGTGTATAGAATTTGCTTGTATTTGTATTTGGTACACGCAAATGTGACGTGTACGTAGGGATATAGGTAGTGATGTTCAAGATATTTAAACGTATTATGACAGTTTAGAAATAGGTAAATATATACATCTTATATATATCTTAAATATTATACACACACTTATCCAGATAAAAAAAGTTTAAAGCTCGTTACAAAAAAAAATAAAAAAAATAAAGGTAACATTTTTATTCTTTTTTTAATGAGATATTAAATGAATAAATTATATAAGTTTTTTATTTATTATTAAAAGAATCAGAAAAGATAAACCGACATTTATCTCCTTTTTAGACATTGAAAAGGCATTTAATAACGTCAACTGGGGGATAATTTTCGAAATGCTGAAAAGAGTCGGAATATTATTAGCGGAAAGTAAACTGCTCCACCGATTGTATAAAAACAGAACATCATAGAAATAGGAGATGAAAAAGAGTCAGGAATAAAGAGAGACAGTGATGTACATTAATACCCTTAATATTTAATGCATATAGTATCCTAGAGGAAATAAATACTATAAGAGAAAGGACACAGTTAGGAATAAAAATAAGTGAACACAGAATAGATATGCTAAGATTTGCTGATAATATAGCAATAGTAGTCGGGAGCGAAAAGGATTTAAAAAATATTCTAAAAACAATGGAAGAGACGATTGAAAGTGAATATAAAAATATACACTGAGAAAACAAAAGTTATAGTATGGAGTAAAGCTAATAACATAAGAACTAGAAAAAAGTTAAGAGATGGTAAAATTATAGAACAAGTAGATCACTCAAAATAGTTAGTAAGCATTATAAGCTCAGATTGAAAATGCATAAAGGAAATAATAAAAATAATATGCCAAGCCAAGGTGACATTTAATAGAAAAAAATAACTTTTTAAATCAAAAAATATTAAAATTAGAAAAAAATCTACTTAAATCGTTCACCTGGATCATTATTTTCAACGGATGTGAAACATGACCTAACGCAAAAGAAAAAAGGAGGAGAACAGAAGTCTTCCAAATGTGGTGATACAGAAGAATGCAAAAGATAAGCTGAACTGATAGAATCATCGGCGAAGAAGTTTAAAAAAGGATTATAGAATCAAGATTATATGGAAAAGTATAAAAAAAAGAAGAATCTAGTAGATATGTCATATTCTCAGACACGGAAGATTTCTAGGGCTAATTTTGGAATTGATGATCGAGAAAAAAAACCACATTGGAAGACCACGATTACAATACATAAGGCAGATTATGGAAGACCAAGAATTAAAAAGGAAGGTTAAAACGAATTAAAAAGAAAAACGATAGAGAATCAAGTATATTGTTGAAGTGAATCATTAGATTGAAGACTACAGAAGATCATTCAGTTTTTATATCCCAATAATTAATAAGACCATGAATGTGATAATAACAAAAAAGACAATTACAAGATTGAAATAAGAAAATAGAAAAGTTACAAAAAAGTTTCTAGAAAATGTATTAGCGTATTAGCAGTAGTAGCAAGATACGAGTATAGTGTATAAGTAGATAGTTAAATTGCACAGTATTTTCGTACCAAGTTTAACTTATACAATGAGTAATTAAATTATTTATTTTTGAAAATCAAAATAATGGAATAATATGGAATAAAGGAGCAAAGATGTATGATTCTAATAATGTACGAGATATTACTTTTTACGGTACCTACCTACTCTGAAATACCAAACAACGAGAAGATTGCTTGAAACATCCATAAAACAGGTTTGTCGAGGTCGTGAAAAATAAGACCCTCAGGGGAATTGTTGGAATGAGTTAATAATCATGTACATTTGTAGGTGCTTATTATTTAAGGCTAGGATACACATACTCTCGATTCGAGAAAAAATTAATTTCAAATAGTGTAATTAAAAAAATAAATGAATAAAATATTAAAAAATATAACTATGTACCCAATTTCATAGGTATACAAATTAAAGAATAATTAGATTACTATGTGCTTAAGTCGGAATATATTAAAGATGCAATTATTATACTAGATATAATTATAAAATATTATTCATTGATATACTTACTTGTTGATTTTACCTGATTTTCAAGATGGACCAGAATAAAATAATGTCTTATCACAACTTAAAATTCAGCATTCTATTTCCGTTCATCATTGATTGACAGCGGCGTATCCAGGAAGGGGGAGTTGGGGGGGGGTATAAGCCCCCCCCCCCGAAAATTGTTTAATGTTTAATTAATTTAATGATCGATCGACACAGCGCCTAGAGGTCTTCATTACTTTCAAGATATCATATAGTATATACTACTTATAAAACCTACCTAACCTAACGCCCCTTAATAAAATTCTGGATACGCCACCGTTGGCTGATATATATATATCTGTACCATTGATACCATTTTATTAGCAGATTTTTGGGATCAAATACGTCCCCAAAAATATATTAATGTTACATAAAGATTATTATATAAAGGTATAACGTCACAATACTTGCAAAAGTCAGGAAAAATTTATAATTTTAACAGAGTAGAAAAATAAAGTGGACATTTGAATATTGTTTAACTGCTGTTTTCTCAAACCCAAGGCATAAGTAGGCACCAGATGCTTGATAGAGTAATAGTAGTGACACATATCAATAGTCTTTTTGTACTGATACCTATTACTTCAAATCACAAATGACAGTTGTGATATTGAAAAAAATGATTGTAAAATACATTATTGCATTTTCAGTTATTGTTTTTCTGAGTTCGTATAATCACTTTGTCAATCTTATGGTAGGTATAGGTTTACTATCCATCATTCTAAGGTAATATTTTGATTATATTATAAATAAGTCTACTCTTAAGCTGAATAAATATATATATAAAAAACAGTAACAAATAGTTTTAATAATCAGTATCAGGAAATTAATTTATCATTAATATCAATATTATTATGTATTGTGTCGTTATAATATTTTAGTATTTTTTATTTAACAATAACTCAAGATGTTCCAGCTTAGAAAATTTTGTTTTCATAACAGTTTTTAACATCATAAACTTCCAATAAAATCTATTCACATTTAAATCAATTTTTATAGTTTTTCTAAAAATGTAATAAAAAAAAATTGGTACAATTCTTTTTCTGCTGATGTTTGTATTTATTATTTACTTATAAACATTCACAAAGTAAAACAAAAATGCTGTTTAAATATTTACACTTTATTTTCCAAGGAACAAAAAATATTAACTAAGAAATAAATAAATGATACATTAACTAAAAATATTTAATTTCATTTATATTATTTAGCCTGATATATTGACAAAAAATTAAGTATGTTTTATAAAAATGCTTTGTTCAGAAAATATTATTTATATACCTTAAATTAAGTAGATATAAATACTTAAAATATATGGTATAATGTGTGTATGTATGTATGTAATCAATACATTTATATTACAATATTTATGAGATACATTATTAATTAAATGTGCAACAATAAGATGATAATTTAGTAGATAAAATCCAACACTAGTAAAAATGAAAAAAAAATATGACATTTTTTGAAACACATTGGAATGAATAAATTTACTTGGATTCTAATTATCCAAACCACAATCAATAAAAAAATCAATGAATATAAATTAAACCAGCATTCAATTAATTTGATTACAAATGTTCTTAATTACTTGGATCTCCTTCTTGCAATGTATGATAGTAATCTATTTCCAAATAAAAATGCTGAGATCCCCAACACCAATAAATACTTCAATGTCATGAACATATCTAGGTACACCCAAAACATTCCAAACAGTATAAATATACCTAAAAAAAATAAAAATATATATATATATACATGTACAATGATTAAAATATGATAATAATGAGTAGAATAATATAAACAGCTCACTAGCTAATGCTCCATGGAATCCTATAGCACTCAAATTGAATGGAAAGTTTTTAATATTAACTCCTAAGCGAGCCCACTGAAATCATATTTTATTAATAAAACAAATTTTTATGAATTATGGTAATAATACTAACCAAAATAAAGAGAACCAACAATGGTGCCAGAGATAATATGGTGAATAATAGAGACACACCGTGAGGTGGTCTAGGTTCAGGTTCTCTAAAAGTATGCTAAAAATACATATTTTAGTATTTTTAATAAATAATAATACAACATAATTTAATAATTATGTTTAAATAATCAATACTCACCGAAATTAATTTTTTTGGCAGATAATATTCTGCAAAAGATTCAGAAGGAACTGATTCATTTTCTAAAAATTTTAATTTTATGTCACCAAAATTCCAAACGATTGGTTTTTTTAAAAGAGAATCACCAATAATTAAATCCATTGAATACACATTAGATGCGTGTTTAAATAATGGTGACTTGACACCTAAATCCTGAAAAATATTAAATATTTTAAAATAAATGTAATACATTAATTACTTTACTTTCTTACCATATCCAATTTATAATTATTTTGAGAATCTAGTTCAGCAACAAATACACTTTGGGACCCAGTCTTAGAATTTGTAAATCTAATAAATGATTGATGCATTTGTAAATTTTTCTTATTCTGATTATCTTTAATAGTGAAACGTACAACAATTCTTTGCATGTGGTCTGCTTTCAACTGAGTTGATAATTTTTCACCATACTTCAAACTAAAAATACAACAAATTGAAAAAGGAACACATGATAAAACGAGTATAATCATACGTTTGAAGTGATGGACTAGTTTGTTGATCATTATCAGTTGTGCCGACTTTAAAGTTAACAATGTTGACAGAAGAAGCGGATACTTTAACTTCAAGTGGAATAGCTGTATTGCCCAAAAGTGGAACTTTAATTTTTTCTAATGGTATAGCATTTATCACTAAACTATAGAGTCCCGTGGACAAATCTGGTTCATTAAAATCTAATTCATACACAGTTCTTTAAAAAAAAAAAAAAAAAACAATATATAGAAATACCAAAAAAATTTAAAATTTAATATTAAAATAGACATAAATTCTTACTTATCGGCAGTTGTTTTAAACTTATTTTTAGACATAACAACTTTATTATTTAACATTGCTGATTCAACACCAACAGAAAGAGATGTTGGTAATGGTTCTCCAAGTAAATTAGTAAACTTTACAGAAAGTGTTTTCTGCGTATCATCTAAATCACCCATGGGTTTTACAAGAGTAGCAGCGATTGGTAAATGGTACTAAAATATTTTATGAATATAAACATAGTAAAAATAATATGATATGAGTTGCAATTGTATATATAAATTTAAATAATTAAACAACATACTTGGTTATTAGACAAAGTTTTAAGAGCATTGAGTAAATAGTATGCTCCTTTAGGCGTTTGAACTGATTTACGAGATAATAAATAATTACTAAACATCAAAACTTGATCATTTTGTATTGGAAATGAAGTATTACACTGCACAGCATCACAAAACTTATATATCCCAGTTAACACAAGAGCTAAAATTAAAAAAAAAAAAACAATATGAATAAAACGTATAAGTTTATATATTTTTGACATCACCTGTAATTGATAAACCTCCTTCAAATTGCAAATATTTTCGATCTACTTCATCAACTTGCATAATTGCATCAGAAAGACGGTTAAAAGCAAAACGCCCTTCAGGGCCAAGACTTGCCAATAAATGTATTGAATATCCAAAACTATAATAAAACATATTTTGTACTTTAAAGAAATATATAAAATAAAGGATTAAGTTTTATTTTTATTATTTTATGAGATATTAAAAAATCAATATGTTCTTGACATCTTTAAATATGTTTATTATAATACTTAAGTTGGTAGAATAAATCCCAGTAGTATATTTATTTTATTTATCAATACTGTGAAAGTCAATATCAATGAACTAGTTAAATAATTTGGTAATCTATAAAAATCACTTTTCCAGTAAAACCTAACACAATTCATGTAAATCATTAATATTAACTGCATAGGCGTGATTAGAGGGGCTAGGGGGGCTTAGCCTTTCATAAATATTTCATTTTATACATGGCATACCGCATACAGCATACTTAACTTGCAATAGTGTCACATACAAAAAAAGACACATTTCAGTAAATTCAACTTGGTTCAGAATCTAAAATATATTAACATGGTATATAAGGGTAGAGGTAATCTACAGGTTATTTTAAGTTTTGGTAGGAGGGCTGTAGCCCCCCAGATTTTTTACCCTAATTATGCCTATGACAGTTGAGTACAACAGACGGGTTGTTGACCAAAATATAATATCTTCCATCTCGGTGAACTTTCGGTGTTTTTGTCTTTTTGTAAATTCAATATTGTTTGAATCATTATTACTTCCGTTTAACTTTTATTTTCTATTTTTCTGTTAAGTTAGGTGCAACATGCATACTAATTTTTAAGCATTCACATGAGGGGGAAGGGTCTAATTAACCTCTACAAAAACTTTAACATGTATAATATATACATAGGTTGAATTGTTATGTTATAAAAATGTATATAATTTATATTTATGTCTATCAAAAGATCGTTTATATCAGTGTTACTCAACCTTTTTGTAATGATGAACATTAAATTAACTGCCTGTTGATTACGTGACCCACCCCCACAAATACTAAATAAATAAAAAAAATATGGAATAATACAATATTATTAATAATCATAGTACTGAACAGCATGATGGAACAGATCACAGGTTAACATAGGTTGACCCATAAAAAATAATTCATGATCTCATTAAGAGTCACGATCCATAGGATGAGAAACACTGGTTTACATAATATTTAATTGATTTGCATAAATTAAAAATAGATAAAAATATTTTAAATTATTTGTACAGCTTGAAAACATTCATCAAAATTTAAATGGGTCATATTTCCCCCCTCGCGATTTGTAATGTCATAACTCCCGTCATGATTTATTTTTCGTGATAAAATATATAAAAAATTTAAAAATCAATTTAAAAACCTTTTACTTTGCAGAAATCAATATATGTGACCATTAAAAATAAGATTTTGTAATTTAAATATATATATTTTTTTTACAAAACAAAATTTTTTTGTGAAATTTTGAAAAATATTATTTTTTTTTAAATATATAATTTTTAATAATGCATATAGTATTAAATTTATTTTTATTTTTATTTTATATTCGGTTATAAAATATCTGACCACAAGTACATATCACTTGGAATCTATTCGTGTTTAAAATAAAAAAAAGATGAATATCATAAAAACATTTAGCATGTTTTTAGTAATGGGGTTTGATGGACCCCCAGGTTAGAGTAATAAAATTTAAATGCTTAGGCGTTCTCTTAACTCAAGAGATTAAGTTAATGGTCGAGATATCAAGAAGATGAAAATTAGCAAACAAATGTTATTTGGAGCTGGAATCCTGCTAAAATCGAGATTGATATCTGTAAATCTAAAAATATTTAATTTAATATTTAATTTAGATTTGATTCAGGATATGAATAAAGGTTTGATAACTAGTGTAAAGAGTTTGTGTGGAGTAACAGAAGATTTTAACGTAGGAGTAGATGTGCATAAAAGGTCAGCTCTAAGCCCTTATTTATTTTCCGTGGTAATGGATAGAATTACGAGACATACAGGCGCGGTACCATGGTTTATGATGTCTGCTGATGATATAGTTTTCTTCTTCTTCTTGGATTTACAATTCTATAAGAATTGGCTGTCACCATCACCGTTCTTCAATCATCACAATCCTGGACTCTATTTTCCCAATCCATCATTTTGAGTGTTTCCAAATGAGACCAATATAATAATATAATATAATAACTAGTGGTGATGTGATAGACGAAATTGAGAACTTTAAATATTTAGGATCGTTTTACAAAAGGACAGGGTTTTGGCATAGATGTAAAACTTTGGATTAATTGCAGTTGAATGAGATAGAGATAAGTGTCGTATGTTTTATACACTAAGAAAATTCCAATGAGACTGAAAGGTAAATTATATAGAAGTTTAGTATGACCAACTATGCTATATGGTTCAAAGTGTTGGGCAGTTGACAGAAGAATAGAACACATTATTAATATCGCAGAAAAGAGAATGCTAAGATGGATAAGTGGAATAACAAGAGATGATAGAATAAGGAACGAGTATGTGATAGTATTGGTGTAGCGTCTATATTGGATAAGATGAGAGAATATAGACTGAGATAGTTTGAGCATATGATGAAACGAGATGAACCATATGCAGTAAGAGTTGTTATAAAAATGAAAGTTGAAGGAAAATAGGAAGACTAAAAAAAAAAAGATGGTTAGATACTATTGAGAATCATATGAAGACTCTTGGTATAGAGTATGAGGAAAATCGAGAAAAATGGAAGTTTAGGACAAGGGTGGCCGACCCCAAGTAGTTGGGAGAAAGGGGAAGAAGAAGAAGAAAGACATATTTACTATATCGTTTACGTTCAAAATGTGTAAGTTAGATAAGTTACAAATTTACCTATGGTTAATACCAAACCAAAGAAATGATCCATCAATAACCACATTTGTTTTTAATATTAAATGAATTATTTAGTAGTTGTATGGTAAACTGATTACTATGATTATTACAATCATATGAGTTTTTTAAATTATTCAAATAAGTTATAATATATTATTTACATTCCTAATTTAAATTATTATTTCAGAATAAAATTATTCACTATTTTTGTTTTTAGAATAAATATTAAATCTATTAAAATAAAAAAAAGCTTACTCAGTTATGGTATCATCAGGCTTCATTTTTCTTTTGATGATATTTATAAGTTTAGTAATATCCTTGGGTTTGAGGTTAAAGTTGCTTAAAATATTAACACCAAAGTATAAATCAGCCATGTGTACATCTCTAATATCTTTTTTCTCTAACATAGTATATACATCCTAAAGATATGATCAAAAATAATATATTTTTCAAGTTAAATAAGTTAATTAAATGTTATTACTTGAACAGATTCATCAACAGCTAGTTTGCCTGAACATGTACTAATCACTTTCCATGCACTTGTTGAAAAATACACAGAATCAAAAGCCTTTGATTTCCCAACTAATTTCACCAATTTATTACATATTGCCTAAAATATAAATTGAATTGGTTATAAGTAATTTAAAATACAATCGGAAAATAGTTAGAGATTATGAATAATATATTGTTTTGTTATTATTAAGCAAAAAGCAGTTAATGAAAATTTATAATAGACATTATTATATAATTTATATATATATACAAATGTTTATTCTAAATTGGTATTAAAATATGTATCAATAAAATAAAATAAAATATTTTTTGCTTAACTATTTATAGATTTTATTGAAGGTAACTAGATAATTACAAAAATTATCTTTTAAGCAAATGACACTATCAGAATTTTAAAATTATTTTTACTTTATCTAATTTAAATAAATGCGAGTTCATTTCAAAATGAATAAATAATAATACAACAATTATTAGACTAAACATTGTAATATTCCATTTTCCTAAGTGTTTTCTGAATTAATAATAAAACAAAAATATACATCAAAATGATGCTTGAATTGAATTAAATGAACACTCACTTGAGCATCAGGTACTTTTTGATCAATTTGTTGCAATCCAGCAACAGCATAGAAGATGTCGGACAAATTTTCAGATACTAGTCCAGTTAACAGTACACTTTTCAGTTGTTCCTTGTCCCTAGCCGTCAAATATGTATCAACAGATATACTGGTTGATAAGCACAAATAACTTGTCAAAACGGTAAACAAAAACACTGCAACAAATTAAAATGCCAAGAATATATTATAATCAAGTGGATATCTAATAAACATCACAATAGTTTGAACAATATACAGTCATAAACGGTATCTTACCGGATTTCATGGTGACAGTTCTCGACGAAACACAATGAAAAAACGTGTTAGAAGAACGATGTTACAAATTTAAACCATCACAGATCGTAGAATATGAATTAATAATATGACAAAAATTATTTATTAAATACCGTTCTGACGTAGCCGGCAGAACATTTGTGTACTCACTCAATAACTGTGTTATCAGTAACTCTGTTAGGTTATGTTTACAACACGTCGCATTTTTAACGGCAAAGACGTGTCAATTTGTGTACCACAGAACTTCTATAAAATATACCCTTATCTTTGTATGGTTCTATTGGTTTGTATGGTTTGTAACACTTGACTACCAGAACATATGTTCAATCGTTTGATGATAATCGATGTAATATAGTGAATATTAAACACAGATATATAACCATAGATAATAGAAGAATGGATAGGCCATTACAACTTATCACACGGAAATAAATATTTATTTTGAGGTTACAAGGGGTCTTATCAATTATCAAAATGTCAAATTGTAAATTTAAATAATCAATAACTATAATAGGTGTTTTTTATATTCAGTTATTTTCGTTATTCATCATGTTTTATATTTAATGTTAATTTTTAATATTAATATTGAATAACAAAATCATACTTATATTTACTTATAATTTATAATTAAAATGATATTACCTATGTCGAATCTTAAATAAATGTATAAATCACAATTTGGATCCATAAGTCGGTATAATGACAATATTTAATACACATTATTTACTCATGACTAAAATGAATAAGCTTTGTTAACTTAGCTCGGGTACGTTTTTCCTTGATATTGTTATCATTTATTTTTCTAATTTCGTGAAAAATACGAATGTCAACATATTTATTGATTGTTAAATTTATTAAATTATCTCTGTGCATATGCTTATTTAAAAATGATTCTTGTCCTGTGCAATATAGAATTGTTTTTTCTATTATCTATGATTGTGACGGGCGCGTGATTTGATAATGCCGCTACTTAGTTTTCGTTTAATTTTTCTTCGGGATTCCACTTATCACGGAAGGCGCAAACGGGGGTGCTGAAACCGCTGAAAATCGATGGTGTTTCACCGTCTAAAAAAAAAAAAA